GGATCACCTGAGGTTGGGAGTTCGAGACCAGCCCAACCAACATGGAGAAATCCCGTCTCTACTAAAAATACAAAATTAGCCAGGCGTGGTGGCGCATGTCTGTAATCCCAGCTACTTGGGAGGCTGAGGCAGGAGAATTGCTTGAACCTGGGAGGTGAAGCTTGTGGTGAGCAGAGACTGCGCCATTGGACTCCAGCCTGGGCAACAAGAGTTAAATTCCATCTCAAAAAAAGAAAAGAAACACTAAATGAAAATTTGGCTTTCTATTTCTGAATTATTACACCAATTGTACACAAACACCGGAGCTAATAAATAACTTTCATATCTCATTTAAGGAAAAAAGCAGTGTTTATCTCATCATAATACAAGTTAAACCCTCAATTACATAATGACTAGTTTGTACCCCTAGAGATTCCTTCAGGCATGCCTATTACCCTATTCCTAACTTAGGACCAGACACGGAAAGACGGGTAAAAATTTAGATCAATATTCAGAAATGACACATTTACTAACATAAAGAAGAACTGTACTGGAGGTTTCTGCCAATGAAATTAGGAAAGTAAGAAATAAAAGCAATTACAAATCTTATAAGGAAGAAGTAAAACTGTCTTTTAGCAGCTGATATGATCATGTACAAAAGAAACCCTCCTAAGGAATCTACAATGAAGGTACTAGAACTAATAATTTAATCAGGTTGCAGGATATAAGGGTAAGATACAAAGACAAATTTCTACATACTAACAACAAATATTAAAAACTTAAACAACATAATTTACAAGAGTATAAAAAATACTTGGAGGTAAATTTATCAAGATATTTGTAAGACCTCTACATTGAACACTACAAAACATTCCTGAGAGAAATTTAAGATGTAAATAAATAGATACCATGTTCATGGATAGAATATATCAGTTCTCCCCCAAATTTACCTATAAGAGTGAAAGTAATCCCAACAGATGGCCTAGTGGATGTTTTGTGGAATTATAAATTGATTCTTAAATTGATATGAAAATGCAAAGGATTTGGTAAAGCCAAAACAATTTTTAAAAAGGGAAATAAAACTGAAGAATTTATACTACCTAACTTTATGGCAGATTATAAAGCTCTAGTAATCAAGTATTAGCATAAAGACATATAGATCAATGGAGTAGAGTAGCGATTCCAGAAACAGACCCACACTTATACTACAATCAATTTATTTGACAAAACTTCCAAGGAAAGTCAATGAGCAAAGGATAGTCTTGACAAAAAATTATTCTGGAACAATTGGATATCCACATAGAAAATAAAATGAACCTTAACTCTTAAGTCATACCATAGCACAAAAGTAACTTAAAAGGGGCCATGATCCCAAGCATAAGATGTAAATCTACAAAATTTCTAGAAGAAAATGTTTGTTACCTTAGGATAGACAAACATTTCTGAGGACATAAAAATATGAACCAAAAATAGGCATATAAATTGGAATTCATCAAAATTTAAGAAACACCTGAATTACAGTGTTAAGAAACCAAAAACGTAAAGAAAACTTGCCATGAACTAGGAGACGATACAAGACATCAATTTGACAAAGTGCTAGATCCAGACTATACAACGAATGTTTGTATCTCACTCATAACAGAAAAACCTAATTTAGAAAATGGCCAAAAGACTGAAACACACATTTTATAGAAAATAGCCAATAAGCATACAGAAAGATGCTAAATATCATTTAATCACTAATTAAATGCAAAGCAAAAATGTAAAATGCTACTGCACATTCATAAGAATAAGTCTTACAGACACTACGTAAGAGTTGAAAAGAATGTGAAACAATGGGCAATCTCTTACTGCTATGGGAATGCAAAATGGTTGTAACCCTTTTGGAAAACACTTCAGCAGTTTCTTATAAAGTTAAACATATTAAACATTAGATCCAGAAATTCTACTCAAGTATTTATCCAAAAGAAATGAATGAAAGCACATCTACACAAAGGTTTATACAAAAATATTCATATTAGTATTATTCATTATAGTCTCAAACCAGAAACAACCCAAATTTCCACCAACAGGGGTGAGTGAATAAACAAACTGTGATACAGACACACACTGTAATACTGTTGAACAATAAAACTGAATAAACCACTGGGCAAAAAAAAGTATTAAATAATAACATGAGCAAATCTCAAAAACTGTGCCATGCCAAAGAAGCCACCAGACAAAAGATTGTACAGTCTATTATTCCACTTATTTAAAATTCCAGAACACATAAAACTGACCTCTAACGATAGAAGGGACATCAACAGTTACCTAAAGTCTGAGCTCAGGGGAGCAAGACAGGGCATGAGGTAGATTTTCCAGGTGATGTGGATGTCCTATCTATCTATATTCGACAAAACCTTACACTGAAAATCTGTAAATCTTACACTGTAAAACCTTACACTGTAAAAATCTGTATACTTAGTAAAGTTGATTTGAAAATCCTTCTAAACATGTTTGGTGAAATGGAACACAGCACATTTAAAAGAAGGCAGCTGATGTTAGAGACCAGATTATAAATATTTATAAAAACCTAAAAAACAATTTAGGATTAAAATAAAGCTGGAGAGGGTTTTATCATACTTGCAGGGCTATGAAGACAAATCACCTTGGGGAAAAAAAAACTGGGGTAAAGTTTTAAAAATTTATTCTAACAGAAGATTTAAAAAATGATTATATAGAAAAACTAACTGATTATGGTCTATTTTTAAAAATCTCTTTCAAACCAGGGTCTTTTTAGGGTGAGCAGTTAGTGCATTTCTTTCTAATTATAAAAGGTGGAGAAAGCAGCATCCGAATTGAACCTGACTGACTCATCTTTGAATGGTTCTTTGAACCATTTCTTTTTCTTTTTTTAACATTTAAGTTCACAGGTACAAGCGCAGGTTTGTTATATAGGTAAACTTGTGTCATGGGGGTTGTTGTACAGGTTATTTCATCACCCAGGTACTAAGCAAGGAACCCATTAGTTATTTTTCCTGATCCTCTCCTTCCTCCCACCCTCCACCCTCTGAAAGGCCCCAGTGTGTGTTGTTCCCCTCTATCTGTCCATGTTGAATCACTTCTTTTAAAATTTAGCCCAAACCCACTTTCTAGCTTCATTTTGCCTAACTCCAAGTTAGTGCATTCACTGAATTTTCTGAATTACAACTTGTATGCTACTGTATACAAAGGTCTGGTGTTTGAAATGCTTCCAGATATAGAATGAGCATATTTAGAAGTCTGTGGCCAGCAGTTTTTGTTACTTTTTAGTCTGAGCCATATTAAAATGATCTTAATTCATTCTATGTAGTTAGGTTAAGTACCACAGTCCCAAGAATCCAAGGCTGGCAAACAATGGTTTCCAAAAACAGAAAATAATAATTTTCCATGTCAAATAATGTCTTTTTTTTGTGTGTGACGGAGTCTCACTCTGTCGCCCAGGCTGGAGTGCAGTGGCCCGATCTCAGCTCACTGCAAGCTCCGCCTCCCAGGTTTACGCCATTCTCCTGCCTCAGCCTCCCGAGTAGCTGGGACTACAGACGCTCGCCACCTCGCCCGGCTATTTTTTTGTATTTTTTTACTAGAGATGGGGTTTCACCGGGTTAGCCAGGATGGTCTCGATCTCCTGACCTCGTGATCCACCCTTCTCGGCCGCCCAAAGTGCTGGGATTACAGGCTTGAGCCACCGCGCTCAGCCCAAATAATGTCTTTTTACATACTTCCAGAAACATAATCTAACAATGAGAAAAATTCTATTACTGTAAGTCAGAGTTCCTGTGTTCTTTTTTTTAGATTAAAGAAAGTCATTTTGTTTCTCACAGTTTTCACAACCCATACAAATGGATAAATTCATAAAGAAAATGTCACACATACAAAATTGGAATATTATTCAGTCTTGTAAAAAATAAGGGAATCCTCTCATTTGTGACAACATGGATGAGCCTGAAAGACACTATGCTAAATGAAATAAGTCAGACATAGAAAGACACTGCACAATTCTTATATGAGACACCTAAAATAGGAAAAAGTATAGATACAGAAATTAGAATAGTAGCTACCAGGGAATGCAGAAAAAGATAAGAAAAGTTGTCATCTAAGGGATATAAAGATGCAGTTACACAAGATGAACAAGTCTGCCACGAAAGACAGGGCCTATAGTCAACAATAGTATGTAGTACATATGAAAATTTTAGAAAGAATGGATCTCACTTTAAATGTTAAATCAACAACAGCAACAAAGGAAAATATAGAAAGTTTTGGAGGTGATGTATATGCCCATTACCCAGAATGTGGTGATAGCAACATAAATGAATATGTATGTCTAAACTCACCAAACTGCATTCATTAATTATGTGCAGTGTTAAAAGAAACAATTGGATCTCCATAAAAGTGGGAGGAAACACCAGTATGGTAAGGCATGAAAACAAAAATGTACACCAGTAGAAAAGAATAGAGCGCCTAGAAATAAATCCACAAACTTAGTCAATTTATTTTTGACAAAGGTACCATGAATACATACTAAGGAAAGGATAGTCAATCCAACATAGTGCTGGAAAAAATGAACTCCATGCCAACAGAATGAAACTGGGCCCTCATTTTAAATCATACACAAAAACCAAATCAAAATAGACTAAACACTTAAACATAAGACCTGAAACTGTAAATCTACCAGGAGAAAGCATAGGCTTCTAAGCTCTAACATGAGTCACAGATCTACTTATAGGAAAGTATAAACTTGAAGAATATGCTAGCAGCATATTGCAATACTTACCTATATTTTTATTTTTATTTCTCAACAATTGTTGTAATACATTGCTCAGAAAGGTTATGCACCTTGCCCAAACTACCAAAGAGAGCTGTGATTTAAACCCAGATTAAACTCCCAAATCCATTTTAAGTACCATGCTGTAATGCTTCAAAAGGAGAGCTCAATCTCTCCAAGAGATACTACATAAACTTGGGAGAAGAGTGACAGTATAATTTTTGAAAATTTAATTTACCTTCAGGGGACGCAGAGCGCCACAAAATTTTGTCCACCAGCTGTTTTCAATGAATTCTAAATGCCTCTCTCTCTTCTTAAGTGTTCGTAACCTTTCTTCAAACTGTTTTAAGGCGCGTTTATCCCTTGCTGGCAAAGGTCGACCATCTTTGCTCTGCAAATGACGGAACAAAACAAAAGTTTTACCATTAACATCTTAATAAAGTACCCAGCAGATTTAGCAGATCAGGTGACAAAACTTTTTCAGGATGGACACTGTTTAGGCAAATTTACAAACTAAAAAATCGTATAACTGCAATAAACATAAGATAACCAAGGTCAGCATAAAAATGTGGATGTGTGTACATTTATGCCTACCTTCCTCTTGATCCCAATACACGGTAGTTATGTGGAGAGAGATAACCATTTGTAAAAACATTCCACAAAAAGTGTATTTGATAAGAAGTGTTAACTACTATGTACTTTGCTAAATGATTCTCCCTCCTCTCCAAACTCACTGTATCACTTATTTTAATAGATTTGGCTCTGCCTCTTCCCTCTCTTTAGTCAAGTGGTTATGTTACCTGAACTGATGCCTCTCAGCCCAATTCAAATGCTAGCAGAATGAAGCAACACAAGTACAGATGGCATGGAGAGGTTTTTGTAACAATTGCTAACAATTGATACTTCCTTGTTTTCCAAGTACTCTGGCAAATGAGTCAAACTTTCTTTGGCCAACCTATCTGACAGATAATTTCCATCTATTTTTACATGATACTTTCTGTAACCATGAGCAGTACCTTTCTCATCATATCTCATAGATACACTTTCCCACTGAACTCTCCTGCTCCTGTCTTTAATTGGGTACAAAAAATAAAACAGCTATTAAATACAGAAAAGGTAAAATATAAAATTGTTTTTATCAGCAGGAACAATAAAAATATTTGTATAGGATTATATTTTTAAAATGCAGATACATTAAGTATTAGAATGTCTTTAATATTCCTATTAAGGTTTAAATAGGTTCCTAGCAGATACACAACATATTGCTCTCCCATATATCCTAGTGCAGCCTCAATTTGAAATCATAAATATAATGCAGAGAATACCTAGGTAACATTTAATAAAGAGATTTACACAGTTACAACAATCTCTTTATACATCGGCATCACTATGACCTTCTGGAACCAATCATCCTCTTCCACGCCTTATCTTATTGCTTGTCAAACTTTATGCATAAGAATCACTTGGAAAGTTTGTTAAATACAGATTTCTAGGCCCTATCCCCAAAGGATATGATTTGGTAGGTCTTGGGTGGGGCCTAGAATTTGAATTTCTACCAAATTTCCAGGAGATACAGATGCTACTAGTCCAGAGACCACACATTACATACTACAGACTATATTTCATTCCTCTAAGTACATTGGGTATTATCACTGGATCCCAGACAATGAAAACTAAGAGGGATTTTCTGAGATCAGAGGAATAAAATGAACACTCCCTTCTGGAGGATAAATCCAGGTAATAATACTTCAAGTGTGTATGAGAAGGATTTTGCACTTTTTATCTTAACCATAACAATTTTCCCCAAAATTCCCATTACCGTATCAAAAGGATACTAAAAATGAAGTAATTTTGTCTCAATGCTGGTGTTCACTATTTTAGAAAAAAGAAAAAAAAATTAGTAAACTGATTTAAGGATCCACTTGAAACAAACCCAAGTTATCTGCCTACTTGGTGAATGCTTCAGTGGAATGAGGGATGAATTTCCATTCTGCATTGCCAATTGACTAAACGAATATAAGAATAATTTTTTTTTTTTTTTTGAGACGGAGTCTCGCTCTGTCACCCAGGCTGGAGTACAGTGGCCAGATCTTATAAGAATAATTTGATCAGAGAAACAAATACTAAGATGTAAACTCAGCAGTGAACATCTATCTCATTTGAAAGAAAAAATGTAGTTATACAGGTTAAAATGTAGTTAAAGGGTATAACAAACCCCTGGTTAAGAAAAAAAAGTAAAACACGAAAGCTTCCCTTCACACTGTCTCACTGTCTACAATTACCATATTACCATTCCCCTTTCCTACGTTTTTTACTGTTAAGCTGCTAAATATCCTTCGGCAAATTTTCTGTTTAGACACACACGCACACACACACACACACAGAAAGTACACATATACAAAAGTATTTATGATTTCTTGTTATACATAATAGCTAACATTTCTTGAAAACCTTTTTTTAACTTTTAAGTTCAGAGGTACATGTGCAGGATGTGCAGGTTTGTTACACAGGTAAATGTGTGTCATGGGGATTTGTTGTACAGATTATTTCATCTCCCAGGTATTAAGTCTAGTAGCCATTAGTTATTTTTTCTGATCTTCTCCCTCCTTCCACCCTCTGCCCTCCAGTAGGCCCTAGTGTGCACCGTTCCCCTCTTTGTGTCCATGTGTTCTCGACATTTAGCTTCCACTTGTGAGGACATGTAGTACTAGATTTTCTGTTCATGTGTTAGTTTGCTAAGGATAATGGCCTCCAGCTCTCTCCATGTCCCTGCAAGGGACATGATCTCATTTTTTTTATGGCTGCATACTATTCCATGGTGTATATGTACCACATTTTCTTTATGCAGTCTATCATTGACGGGCATTTAGGTTGATTCCATGTCTTTGCTACTGTGAACAGTGCTGCAATGAACATTTGCGTGCATGCGTCTTTATCGCAGAATGCTTTATATTCCTCTGGGTATATACCCACTAATGGGATTGCTGGGGTTGGATGGTAGTCCTACTTTTAGTTCTTTGAGGAATCGCCATACTACTTTCCACAATGGTTGAACTAATCTGCACTTCTACCAACAGTATATAAGGGTTCTCTTTTCTCAGCAATCTTACTGGCATCTGTTATTTTTTGACTTTTTAATAACAGCCATTCTGACTGGTGTGAGATTGTATCTCACTGTGGTTTTTATTTGCATTTCTCTAGTGATCAATGATGTTGAGCTTTTTTCGTATGATTATTTGGCCACATGTATGTCTTCTTTTGAGAAGTGTCTTGAGCACCTTTCTTGTGCATAAAACTGGTCTTCTCTTTTTGTATTTATTTTTGTACATCTTCTGAATAACTCTTTTGAGGCAGATAATAGTATTACATTCATTTATTAAATGAGCAAAAAAGGCCTACAGATGTTATGTGCACAATCAGTAGAGCTAGATTTTGAACTGAGATAGTCGGATTTTACATGACATATTCTTCAAGCTATATACAGATTTATAAATATATCTCATTCCTTTTCACTACTGCACATTACAAGATGGTATCTAGATTTAACAAATAACTTCTTTTGAACATGTAGATTATTTCCTTTTTTAATTTTTGTTGAGGGTCATTAACAATGTGCCATAAACATCCTTATATACTTAGGTACAAACAATTCAGTAGGATAATTTCCTAGAGGTAAACTGTTAAACTTTAATTATTAAAAGGTGTGTATGTGTATGTACAGGCACATGTCATGACATTCAATATTCTTTAGAAAGTTGTATATTTTATATACTCACAAACAGTCTAATCCCCAAATTCTGATAAAAATTTGACACAGATAAAAATTTAAAAGAGGTCCAAAGAATTTTAAAAAAATATATTGAGTTGTTCTTGACATTTATTATTTTACAGTTTGTGGCTATTGTGAATGGGATTATTTTCTATTACATCTTCCAACTAATTAATGCTTGTTATGTTTACATCTAGGCACCATGATAAACTCTTATTAGTTCTATTAGTTTGTCAGTTATTTTAGATTATCATGGTAGATGATATTTGCCAACAAAAAAAGTTATTTTCCTTTTCCCCCTCTCCTCTCCATGCTTACATGTAAATTCTAAATTATTTCTTATTTGACTCAGATTGCCAGAAATATGCTAAAAGTAACAAGGATAATAACATTACTCCTATATTTGATGTTAATGGGAATGTTTCTATTCTTTCACTATTAAGTATTGTACTTATTAGAGGCTTCCTTTCCATATTTTCTTATCTTTATTTTGAAAAGACTTTATTAAAATTTGTAACTACAAATTAACTTTTAGAAAATACTCTAACATCTACTAAGATGTTTATATTTCACATTTAATCTCAATATGTTAAACTACTTTAATGTATTTTCTGATGTATCATGCTTGCATTTCTGAGATAAGCCTAATCTGATGATTATGAAATATTCTCTTACTATAGCACAGGTTTTGAATTGCTATTTTTTTTTAAAGGGTCTTGCTCCATCATCCAGGCTGAAGTGCAATGGCACGATCATGAATCACTGCAGCCGCAACTTCCTGGACTCAAGTGATCGTCCCAACTCAGTCTCCCAAGTAGTTGGGACTATAGGCATGCCACGACACCTAGTTAAGTTTTTGTATTTTTTTGTAGAGATGGGGTTTTGCCCAGGCTGGTACCAAAATCCTAAGCTCAAGCAATCTGGTACTAAAGGTGTCAGCCAACAGTACATACCTGACCACTTACATTTTATTTATATTAAAATATTTGCTTCTACTTTCATAAGAAAGCCAGTATATGGTTCTTTTTTTGTGTGCTGTCATTGTCTGGTTTATTTATCAGAATCATACTAGCTTAGGAGAATAATTTAGAGGACCTGCCATTTTTCTCCCATGATCTTTGAATAAGATTTATCTGTTACTCGGCCGGGCGCGGTGGCTCAAGCCTGTAATCCCAGCGCTTTGGGAGGCCGAGACGGGTGGATCACAAGGTCAGGAGATCGAGACCATCCTGGCTAACATGGTGAAAGCCCATCTCTACTAAAAAATACAAAAAACTAGCCGGGCGAGGTGGCGGGCACCTGTAGTCCCAGCTACTCGGGAGGCTGAGGCAGGAGAATGGCGTGAACCTGGGAGGCGGAGCTTGTAGTGAGCTGAGATTGGGCCACCGCACTCCAGCCCGGGCGACAGAGCGAGACTCCGTCTCAAAAAAAAAAAAAAAAAAAAAAGATTTATCTGTTACTTGAAGACGACAGAGGAAGAAAAACTTTTTACTGTATTTTTAAAAGCACATTTAATTGGCAAGGGGTTACATGTAACCTTTAGCTTATTCAACTAATAAATAAAACTTCAACATAAATATTATAGTAAAATATATTATATATTAAATGATGATACCTGAGAACTAGTAAGATCTTGATCATACATAAGAAAAACTTTTGTTTTTTAAGTGTTAGAACAATGACAGAAATTCTCAAATTGCTAGTGTCCTAGATTACACATAAGACCAGTTTTTAGAAATATAGACGTGGTTCTGTAAGGATACTGTATTAGTCCATTCTCATGCTGCTATAAAGAACTACTCAAGACTGGGTACTTTATAAAGGAAAGAGGTTTGACTGACTCACAGTTCCGCAGGGCTGGGAGGCCTCAGGAAACTTACAATCATGGCAGAAGGGGAAGCAAACATTTCCTTCTTCACATGGCAGCAGGAAGGAGAAGTGCCAAAGGGGGAAAGGCTCCTTATAAGGTCATCAGATCTTGTGAGAACTCACTATCATGAGAACCGCATGAGGATAACCGCCCCCATGACTAAATTACCTCCACCGGGTCCCTCCCACAACACAGGGGATTATGGGAACTACAATTCAAGATAAGATTTAAGTGAGGACACAGCCAAACCATTGCAGCTATGCTGCAAAAAATTCAAACAATGTAAAAAGTTATGGGGTTGACAATGTCTAAGTCATATCAGAGTAGCTCTAAGACAAAGTAGTTTTATGCTTCCCAATTACACCAAAATACCAACTCACTTTTGATTTAATTGTTTGAATGTGTTGTTCTACTTCTTCAATGTCTTCAGTGTTTTCTAAACGTTCATAAGCAGCGCTTCTAGTGCCTTTTATCAGATTTAAAGGTAACGCAGACATGCCATAGGCCTAAAAGAAAAAAAATTGAAATGTTTTAGAAATAATGTTTCAAACATATTATACACAATTTTAGGTTAAAAATGTCTTTTAAAATCATAAAAGTCAGCAGTTGTGAAAGAGTACAGTCACTGAAAAACGTGGTATACGAGAGTGAACACTATATTGTCTCACAATTCTCCCATTTATTTCACATTACATTTAAACAGAGTCAAATTTATAATACAATTCCTCAAAGGTTAAGTTGCAAATTTACTGTAAATTTACTGTACAATTCTTTATATCAAAGTAATAATTACAACTTCAGACTAATCGAAGGTTAAAATAGTATAAATTAGTAAAAAAATTTAAAAAAATGATTTTCTATAAAAAAGAACAATTTTCTCCAAGTATATATAGTAAACCTTTGGTAAAGTAAGTATTTTAATATATACATGTCATTTGATTAGCATACCAATTATTTACATTATAAAGTTTATTTGAAAGTTCTAAATATTTATAACCAATCTTTTTGCTAAGTATTTTAAATATTTTCCAAGTAATTTTAACTTATTAATCAGTGTTAAGAATAAACATGTTATTATATGTACTACCCAATTCCATATTCCAGTACCAAATGACAGCTTTTTAATATAGCCATTAATAATACTTAATGGCATCTGCTATGTAACCATTATTCAGAATCATTACTGACCGTACTTTCTTAGCAGAAACACTAACAACTATAACCTCCTGGTTGTAGCAACAAACTCTGAAATGGATACTACATTATGTACTTAAATGTTTTTCATTTCCCTTTTGGCACACTTTACCCAGTGTCCCCTGTAGTTAGGTGGGCTATGACATTGAGTTCAGGACAATGAATACTGGCAGAAGTGATAAATGCCACTTTTTAAGCATGACCCCAAACATCAAAATATCCTGGGTGATCCTGAATGCTTTTACTCATGCTCTCTGCTACCTAGCTGTCAACTCCAAGAATGACTTAAGATACCTTCAATGTTAATTTTAATTAGTTTAATATTCTAACATTCTTCACTGAGTCTCCTTTATGCAATGATTAAACATTGCTTAAACCACAGTTCAAATAGCAAAGCATAAATTCTAACAAATCAGCTTTTTTTTAAAATTAAGGGAGAACAAAAAACATGAATAAAAAATACCCCGAAATCAACTAGTTCTATCATATAATATCAACTCTAGAGTACGTTGTATTTAGATACTTATCTAGCTGAAATTATTACCCAATATACAAATCTTTGTATTTCCAACACTTAAAAAACCTTGCACTTTAAATATTATTAAAACATAAGTGAGTATTCTCATTATTTCCCTTTAATCCTAAAATAGGAAGGAGTGGAAGAAGATTCTGTTACTATTAAATGAAAATGCAATTTGGATAGAGCACACTTTAAGTATTCCTTATTTTAAATGGCTGGGACTAGAAGTGTTTGGATTTTAGAATTTTTTTGACTTTTAGTATATTTGCATTATTGAGCATCCGTAATCTGAAAATCCAAAATCTGAAATGCTCCAAGGAGAGATGAAACAAGATGGTGGAATAGAAGCCTACACCATTCATCATCCTCACTGGAAAACCACATTTTAATATCTATACACAGAAAAGTACTGTCACAAGAAGCAAAAATCCGGTCAGCAATCACAGTACCTGGTTTTAACTTCATATCACTAAAAGAGGCATTGAGGAAGTCAGGAGAGACAGTCTTGAATCATCAGTGCCACCCCTCTGCCATCCCCCAGCAGCAGCCATGAGGCACCATGGAAAGACAATCTTTTCACTTTCGGGAGAGACAGCACAGTGACTGGGGGGACTCTACATTGAACGCAGTGCTGCCCTGTCACCGTTGACAATACAGCCGTGCTGGGCTCAGCTACTGCCCATGCATAGAAGGAACATTTGCACCAACCCTAGCTAGAGGGGAATCACTCACCCCAGTGGTTGGAACTGGAGTTTCTCAGCAAACCTTGCCACTGTGGGCAAAATGCTCTGTCGTCCTAGGTAAACTCAAAAGACAGTCTAGGAAACAAAGACTACAATTCCTAGGCAACTCCTAGTGCTAGGCTGGGCTTAGAGTGGACTAGGGTGGCATGTGACCCAGGAAGACACCAGCTAAGGGAGTGCTTGCACCATCCCTCTCCCAACCCCATGTGGTGTAGCTCACCTTAACAAAAGTGACTCTTTCCTTTGGCCTAAGGAAAGGAGAGGGAACAGTAAAGAGAACTTTGTTTTGCATCCTGGATACCAGCATGGCCACAGCAGGATACTGTGCCAGAGTCATCAGGCCCCCATTCCAGGGCCTAGCTCACAGATGACATTTCTAGACACACCTTGGGCCAAAAGGGAATCTGCTGCCTTAAAGGGCAGGCAGGATTGATTACCTGCTGACTAAAGAGCCCCTGGTCCCTGAATAACCAGGAATGTTATCTACCAAGTACACTGTGGGCCTTGGGCTCTGGGACATGCTGGATTCAGGGGTGACCCAGTACATTCCCAGCTATGGTGGCTATAGTAAAAGACTCTTTCTGTCTGAGAAAAGTAAGGGGGACTTTGTCTTGCACCTCAGCCACAGTAAGGTAGAGCAACAAGCAGACTCTTGGGGTCCCCAAGTCAAGGTCTAGGTTCTTAGAGGACAGCACTTTTGTACATGCCCTGTCCAGAAGGGAGCCCACTGCCTGCAGGCTGAGTCTCAGGCCTGGCAGCATTCACCACAAGCTGTCAGAAGAGCCCTGGGGCTTTAAGTGAACATTGGCGGTGGCCTGGTGGACCCCCATGGAACAGAGTCTCCACAGAGACTCCTCTGCCTGTGGAAAGGGGAGGGAAGAGCAAGTAGGACTTTGTATTGTGGTGGTGTGTGTGTCAGCTTAGCCATAGATTAGCAGGTAAACTGCTAAGGTTTTTACTCCAATTCCTGGCTCCCAGACAGCATCTCAGTAGAAACCTTACAGGTCAGGAGAGAACAGCATAACATATTTAAAGTGCTGAAGATAGAAAAATTTTACCCTAGAATAGTATATCCAGTGAAAATATCCTTCAAGTATGAAGGATAAAGATCTTCCCAGAGAAACAAAAGCTAAGAGACTTCATTAACACCAGACCTGCCCTACAAGAAATGGCTAAAGGGAGTTCTTCAATCTGAAACAAAAGGATGTTAAGAGCAAGAAGAAATCATGTGAAGGTACAAAATTCACTGGAATTGTAAGCACACAGAAAAACAAAGAATAGTATAACACTACAATGGTGGTGTGTAAACCAGTCTTGTCTTAAGTAGAAAACTAAATGACGAACCAATCAAAAAAAAAAAAAAACAACCTTTTCAAGACACAGGCAGTACAATGAGACGTAAAGAGAAACAACAAAAAGTTTAAAAGCAGGAGGATAAAGTTAAAGTGTAGCGCTTCTATTCGTTTTCTTTTGTATGTTTGCTTGTATATGTACTCAGTGATAAGTTGTCATCAGTTTAAAATAATGGGTTATAAAATAGCATATACAAGCCTTGTGGTAACCTCAAATTAAAAAACATACAACGAATACTTAAAAACATAAAGGCAAGACATTAAAGCATACCATCAGACAAAACCACCTTCACTAAAAGGAAGATAAGAAAGAAAGAAAGAAGACAGGATTGTAAAATAACCAGAATATAAATAACAAAATGGCAGAAGTCCTTACTTATCAGTAACAACACTGAATGTAAATGGACTAAACTCTCCAATCAAAAGACACAGACTGATTGAATGGATAAGAAATCCAAGACCCATTGATCTGTTGCCTACAAGAAATACATTTCACCTATAAAGACACACACAGACCAGAATGGAAAAAGATATTCCATGCCAATGGAAACAAAAAAAGAACAAAAGTAACTATGTTTATATTGGGGAAAACAGATTTCCAGACAAAAACTGTATGAAAAGACAAAGAAGGTCATTATATAGTGATAAGGGGGTCAATTCAACAAGAGAATATAACAATTATAAATGCACCCAACACTGGAGCACCCAGATATATAAAGCAAATATTATTAGAGTTAGAGAGAGAGACCCCAATACATTAACAATGGAGACTTCAACACCCCAATTTCAGTACTGGACAGTTCTCTCAGACAGCAAATCAGCAAAGAAACATCAGACTTAACCTGCACTACAAAACAAATAGACCTAATAGATATTTAAAGAACATTTCATCCAGTGTCTGTGGAACACATATTCTTTTCCTCAGCACATGGATCATTCTCAAGGATAAACCATATGTTAGGTTATAAAACAAGTCTTAACATATTCACAAAAATTGAAATAATATCAAGCATCTTCTCTGACCACAACGGAACAAAGCTACAAACCAGTAACAAAAGGAATTTACAAAACTATACAAACACATGGAAATTAAACAATATGCTCCTAAATGACCAGTGGGTTGATGAAGAAATTAAAAAAGAAATTGAAAGAGTTCTTGACACAAATGATAACAGAAACACAACATACCAAAAACCTACAGGATATAGCAAAAGTAGCAATAAGAGGGAAAATTACAGCTCTAAAAGCCTAAATCAAAAAAGAAGAAAAACTTCAAACAAATACTGTAATGATGCATTTTAAAGAAATGAAAAATAAAGCAAAAAACCACATCCAAAATTAGGAGAAGGAAAGAAATAGGATCAGAGCAGAAATAAATGAATTTTGAATAAAACAATAAAAAAGATAAATGAGGCTGGGCACGGCAGCTCACACCTGTAATCCCAGCACTTTGGGAGGCCAAGGCGGGTGGATCATGAGGTCAGGAGATCGAGACCATCCTGGCTAACATGATGAAACCCTATCTCTACTAAAAATACAAAAAATTAGCCGGGCATGGTGGCGGGCGCCTGTAGTCCCACCTACTTGGAAGGCTGAGGCAGGAGAATGGCGTGAACCCGGGAGGCAGAGGTTGCAGTGAGCCGAGACCACGCCACTGCACTCCAGCCTGGGTGACAGAGCGAGACTCCGTCTCAAAA